ATGCTTTTGGAAAATTTGTTTGGAAAAAAAAAAGGAAAATTCTTTCTTTTCTCCCCCTCCTCTGTTTTCGGCCCGAACAGCCAGCCAGCCACAGCAGCTCCCCACTCACCCGGCTGCCCATTGCCCACCTTTTGCGCCTCAAGAACGGCTCAAAGGCCCAAAGACTGCAGCCTGCCCAAAGACATGCAAAGAACCGCCAAGCCCTTCCCTTCCTCAATCGGCCACCGCTTTGGCCCGCTTTGTCACCTCCCCCCCCCTTCCTCCCATAGAATCAAGCCTCGCTCCACCACGCGTGCGTGGGGCGCCTCTTCCCAGCGCCCGGCCTCTTTTTAAGCAAAGCCAACCCCAAGGTCCCCCTCTCGCTCCCCGCTCCATTTTTTCGCTCTCGCTCACGCCTGGAGCCCGCAAATCACGACGGAGAACACCAAGACCGCTGTCCGCCGTCTGCTGCCGCCATCTTCCCGAGCCGACTCACCCTGATTTCTCCCATTGTGAGCCTCTCCATGCTTCCTCTACCTCCCCATGCATTCAATTCATTGTTTCACGGCCCCTAGAGCTCTAACCGCATGTGCCGAGGATCTCCGGCCGCCGTCCATGGCGACAAACACGCCACGCCACACCCCCCGCCACCTTTTTGGCCTAGCTGCGATCCCTCGCTCCTCCGCATTTTCCCGGTGCCCTCGGATCGCATTCCGTGGCCCGTGGGGGCTTAACGCTTGCTCGGCGTGCTCTCGCCGCCGTCCCATGGCTGAGCCGCCGTGGTATGCTATTGTGCTGGCGGACCTCCTTCTCTCTTCCTTCCGAATCGATCCAAGCCGTCCATCTCCGGATCTGCGGCCGGATTAGAAGTTACCTTTTCGCATGTAAATTTTCTAAAGAGACCCCTGTTTTCACCAAATTGAACCCGCCATCCCTAGCGTAGTTTCCAGAGTACGCTTTCTCGTTTTGAACACGTAAATTGCAATTTGCTTTTAGTTCAAAATACGTTTTCAGATTTACGTAAATGCCACTAGATTTGTTTTGCTCATAAAAACTTCGCTTTTAGCTCCGAATTTATCCGCTCAAATTGCGTTAGCTTCGTAATTTCATAATCTACGTGTTAGTACCACTATTAATCAAGTTTGCAACTTTTAAATTTCATGGTTAGGATTAATTAAATAAAGTGCTATAGGAAAACCCGTTTAATTCATAACTTTCGCGTTTTAGCTCCGATTTTCGTGAACTTCGCGTTGACGTGATCGTAGCGAGATGTAGATTCTTTTTATAAACATTTTATCTTGTTTTCTATACTGTTGGTGTACTGTTCTAACTGTAGGATTGTTTGCTTTGCATGAATATTCCTAGAATGTTGTGTGTTGCCGTGTTGGTCGTGTTCACACGGTGAGGAGAACGTTGGAGACCAAGAGTTCTTCGACGACCAGTAGGACCAGCAAGAGTTTGTGAACCAAGGCAAGTATAGCATGGGATCTACCTTGATGCCTATTCACCTTTATTAATTACTCATTTGCATGTATCTAATTTTGGTACCCGTAAGGACATCCTAGTGATTGAATATCATGTTCCTTGTCTCCTATGGGTTATATGCATATGGGTAGTTTGCTAGTGCTCAATGTAAATGAACATGATCTACATAATGAATGATGGTTCTATGAAACGAAAAGGTAAATTTGCGTTGAAACAACTGAATTATAGGGCGATCGAGCAAATGACTTTTGATCATGATGCTCTCGGCCCTACATAAGGACTTATCTGTCGGCAAAAGCTGGGACTGACAGTGCAACCGTGAGGGTCATATGGCTCTGGCTTTAGCTCAGTAATAGGACCTTTTCTAGCTTGTTAGAGGTTACCTTTATGGCGCAAAAGGGGCTTGCCACGTTGGGTATAGGACTGCCTCTGTTCCTATGTGTATAGCCGTGATGGATATGTGCTATAGGAAAGGGGGTTCCTATATCTGCCTGCCAAGGAAACCTAGCGGCCCTAACTTGTTAGAGAAACCTATGAAATGGCTTCATAGTGTACCCTGCCCGCTCACCTTGGCAGTGATATGGGAGTAATTAACCCGGGCATATGGGAATCACGACTCGCGGTGAATGTGCACCACCTCTACAGAGGGTTACAAACTGTTATAACAGCCGTGCTCACGGTCACGAGCGGCCCGGAAAACTCACATAATAATTGGTTACTCATTGTTGTTCATTTATGATGGTTTATGATGATATGGTCCAAATGATGCTGATATCTGATTAAGTGGGTTTAAATGGGAGCTTAAGCATAACTTGATAATACTTGATAATAAAATCTTGACTTACTAAAAGTGCTAACTGCAGTAAACCAGTGTCAACCTTTTTGAGCCTCATGAACCCCATGTTATCTTGTTGAGTACGGGACGTACTTACGCTTGTTTATTTTCTTTATTTGGATAAAAATCCCGGATGGGTAACAGATGACAACGTGTATGAGGAGTTTCCTGAGGATTATTAGGCTTGTGGTCAACCAGTTGACCTTCCCTGTGATGGTGTTCCACGAGAGAGAGTAATCTTTCATTTTCCGCTGTGATGTATAAGGCTAAGTTATGTTATTATCGTGATGTAAGATACACTGTGATGATACTCTTTTATAATTTATCAGCTTGTGTGTGTGATTGATTCCTGGGCACACATGAGTTAGTGCATTCAATTTTATCCTTAAAATTAGGTGTGACAGCTAGGCTATAGTAAAATCAAGGAATCAACACGTCAAATGAAGATCAAAGAGCAGTCATGAAGACCCAGAAGAGACAAGCAAGGGGCTCAAGACATCAAGGAAGAATAGCCCCGAAATTTGGGCATGAAGAAACACTTCAGAGGAGCACCAAAAACGTGCACCGGAAAAAAAAACTGTGTCACTGGGAGATTCCAAGTGGGCGGCACAATAAGAACTTGGGCCGATTTATCGGTGTTTGGTTGTTTACATGAAAATTACCCTATACTTCTACCTGTCTGTCTCCTTCATTTTGCCCCATCCCTTCCACTTCTCTATCTTTGACTAAGTTGAAAAAATATGTTAACATCTACAATATTAAACAAATGGAATATATGAGGATGTATTTCATCGTGGATTCAACAAAACTAATTTGATATTGTATTTTTTTAGGAAATCTGATGTTGTATATGTTGGTGCATTTTTCCATGAACATAGTTAATTAATATGATTGTGTTAATAATGATCGATCTAAAAAATTTCTTGAAGAACTTGCGGAGGAGACATGTAGTTAGTCATGAATGTGAACCCTAATATCTTGATTTTGGCTTGACCAGAATCGTCAAACAGGTCAAGTCATTAAAATCTTTTTGTAGCCCCCATTGCAGCACACGATACTCACCTAGTATAGTAGGTAAAGCATAGGATACTACTCAATGAATCCAAAATGATGTATATCTTAGGTATACAGAGACACAAAATATTAAATATATTCTGGCCGGTCTGTTCTTCATAAATGTTAACATACGTGCTACATGTCTAGCAATATCTATATCTTCCACTGTATCTCGTAAACATGTCTAGCAATATCTATATCTTCCACTATATCTTGTCAACGATTGTAAGCTCTTCCGATCCCATCATACCACTAAACCATTACATGTTTCCTATATATAGTACCCAATTATCAGAACATAAGGTTGACACCGTGCCAAGCACCACCTGGTACCTTGGCATAATGATGATGTGTGTGAGAGCAGAGATTCTACTTGTGCTGATAGTATGTGCCATAGTTTTTCTCCAACCACCAGTGATGGGGAAATTTCCAACATGTACTGCCACGCAGAAGAGAGAGATTCTGATGCAATGTAGATTATTCATTTTGGAAGCAGAGTCCAGTGTTCCCAAAGATGGTCCCTGCTGTGAGGCGGTGAGAGCTGTGCCAAACAGAAACATGAAATGTGTCGTCGTTCTACTTTCAGATCCTGAGAAGAAGAGATTCAAGGAAGAGAGGATCCTGTCTCTTGAAAATATCTGCTTACTACCTTAGTTCCGATGAGGTAAAAATCATGTATTGCTGATCCATTTTGTGCTAATATAAACCAAAAATGTTCTGCTAAGCTGATATTGAATTGTTCTTGTTTTACGTTCCAGGCCCTGATGTAAACTGCAGGCAGAGCTAGATAGACTCGATGGTTAATAAAACCTATAAAATATTCGTTGCGATATCATGCACATCATTCGAGAAATTAAAGAGATCAGTGTTTGATCATCAAGACATCTCCCGTTGCGCATTTGAGCTTGCCTCAGCATTGGTTTGAAAATAAGCCCTTGTTTAGTTTCACCTTAACTTCTAAAACGTTGCTACAGTACCTATCACATCGAATGTTTGCGGCCCGTGCATGGATCATTAAATATAGACGAAAAGAAAAACTAATTGCACAGTTTGGTAGAAAATTACGAGACGAACATTTTGAGCCTAATTAGTCCATGTTTGAACACTATTTGTCAAATAAAAACAAACGTGCTACAGTAACCCCAAAATCTAAATTTCTCCAACTAAACAAGGGCTAACTCACAAACTGTTAGAAACTTGACCTACGCCCTCCGTCCTAAAATAAATATTTTTTGAGCTTTAAAATTTGTATAAAAAATTAACATTCTACACTACTACAGAATCGTTTTTTTAGGGTCGGCTCATAACCCTTTGTAGGGGCGGTTTTACCGGCCGCCCCTACGAAGGGGTGGCTACAAATCGCTGATTTGTAGGGGCGGTTGGCAGACCGCCCCTACAAATCGATTTATAGGAGCAGCTGATATTATCAGCCGTCCCTACAAATCGATTTATAGGGACGGTTACAGTACCAGCCGCCCCTACAGTGTATTTTTCCACCCAAAAAAATCAAATTTCGTTTCATTTAGGGACAGAGATTGCTGAATGTGCTAGATGGCTGAATGTGCATTTCATCATTTCATTTCATTTCATTTAGGGACAGAGAGAACGAAACAAAAACAGGAGGGGAGATATATTTTTCTTTTTGCTAGCTCTCTAGTCCTCTAATCTTCTCAAAGCAGCTCTCTACGGACTGGATGATCTCTGCCGTGATACGATCGCCAGCAGCCACCTTGTATTGTTCAAATTTCGCTTCATCACACTCCAGTGCAGCTTTCTTGCAAGCCCTGATGCTTCCTGGAAAAAGTGAATGCAACGATGATTGATGAGCTAAACTGTGGCAGTTGGGCAATAAAAAGAAGAGTGACCCTTTTCTTAAGGACTACAAATTAGTATTACAAACATGGCAATAGTGCTACTCCCTCTGTTTCAGACATAGCATATATCTAGATGCATAGATACATAGTTTTACTATGAAGCTGGCCATCCTAATTGACACATAGTTTTGAGTTCTGAAGGAGAAATGTGGTTCCAAAAAGGTCAACAATATGAGGAAAACAGAATGAATTTGACAAACCTATAGCTTTCTATAGCTGTAGCTCCTATGTTCCTTCATCAGAGATGGCAAAATGTTGCACCGAAAGTTTAGAAATTACTCAAACGAAACAGCAAAACAGCCCACATGAAGATTATTCAAACTTGTGAACCTTGACAGTGATGTGTGAGATGGGCATATTGAATCCTTTCTAAATCAAAATCCTACCGTCAAATTCTTACTCTAAGTTAGAAGACAAAATCAACTACAGAAATAGGTTATTTTTGGAAGGTCCAGAGTGCGCCAAATCAAGTGCCAGTCTGATTTCAGGTTCTTTGAGTAACCAATCAGTTGCGTAAGGGCTACTGAAACTGGATTCTACATGTGAAAGGACAAGAGGGCATATCTAAAAGATTCATGGACTAGAGCTATACCAGTTTCGCAGCATTTCTGTTCTTCAGTGTCAAAACTGCTGCTTCAGAGAAGGCCTGTGCAGCTCGAGCCTCTGCTTCCCTAGCAGCTGCTTCAGCTTCTGCCAAGATAGCCTCTGCCTCTGCAACTTCAGCTAAGCCAAAACCTGCTGAATGCAGAAGTTAGAGGGTGACCCAACGACATATATATGTAATGAAGAATATAAAGAACAGATTATGCTGATTTTACATTCTTGAAGCTTTGTGGGTTATTTATATGCATATCAGACAAGATGAACCATATCACCAAGTCTTCTTGCTCAGGGTTCACACAGCTATGAGGGCATTCTTTTCTCAAAATAGCATAGAAACAGAAAATGCTCCATTTTCAATGGATACTAATACTAATAGCCTAGCACAATTAAGAAAGATTGTCTATTTCACCAAATCTTTCCAATGAGGATTCATATATTAAGGCAGTTTGCTCTCAAAATAGGAAATGGGGTCACAGAGGATGTGATTAGACAGCGTCCTATAACATGAATAGTCTTTCTAAACTGAACCAAGATTTCCTTTCAAAGAAATTAACTAAGGTTCTTATGAAATCCAATAACATGATGCACACATTAAAGATTATTTTACAATCTATCTATAAAATCTAAGTTTACATGTGCAAAATGCCAACATTGTCAACTAAAGCATTAAAGTAGCTAAACGCAATAAGCTAGCTACTTGAAACCATTACAGTAGAATTCTTCAAATGCGTAGCCCCAGTAGTCAGTAATTGTATTTACATGATAATAAACAAAAGCATAAGGCTTGTTTCCTACGGCCCCTTATGCAACCTGAACATTTTAGAAAGTGATGGTATCACTTCCAACTGAAGTATACAGGAATTTTCCCCCTAAATTTGTTGTTACAGTAACCGAAATTTTTTTACCTGAGGGTAGAAATGAGGTGCATTGATCTTCACCTTTTTCAAGAGTCCAAGAAGAATTGGAGCCTGTAACGATAGATAGCCTTGTTTACTTGTTCAGAATACATGTTGGTACATTTTAACAGTAATATGAAAATATATATCATACATTTTGATCAGTGACCACAAAAGAAAGAATTTTTGAAAGACATGCACCTATCTCAAGATCATACTGATTTCTGCTTCAGCTCCAGCAGCAGCATCTTGGGGCTTCGGCCCTCTAAGCGTGGTGAACTAGGTGCTATCCTGTACTTCCGATTCACCTGCAAACTTCCACTGGTCATGCTGAAAAGCTCAAGGTTCTTCAATTTGAGAACATGCAACTTCTGATTGGATCAAAATATGAACATTCAGCAATGAAAGATGGCTCATTGGCTCATGGACACCATAAAGCCCACAAATCGAGTAGTGCTGAAAATAGCATTTAAAGTGAGATCAGCCGAACCTGTAGTCTACCAAGGATTCTACATGAAATTAAACAAGAAATCATTATGTAATAGACTAACAGTGGAGTATTGTGCATCACTAAACAAGAAGATCGAATTAAACTGAACAAAAATGCAGATCGAATTTGGCGCACCTTGAGCCCTTGGCGTCCAGGATGAGGGCCATCAGGCGGCGGTCCGAGGCCTCCTCGAGGGATGCCGGAGCGCTGTGCTCCCGGTGGATCTCGAGGGCTTCGCGGCATAGCTTCTCTGCCTCGTCGAACTGCAGAGCTTGCACATTCGCTTCCGTCAGGTACCTGCTCATCAGTCAGTTTTGAGAAGTAGCAAAATTGTCATGCTTCGTCCCTTGTAAGATTTATTGGGTGTTTGCACGCAAGAAATCGGTTTTTAACGCCAATTCTGTCGAGATCCACAGTTTTCTGTAACGACTAACGACCAACGATGGGGAAAAATATCAGTTCTTTGGCTTTATCGAGGTTGGATTGGAGGTACTAGTAAAAAAATGGCGCCTTTATGGAGATTGGGAGAGACGAGATCCAGATCGAGAAGCAGCGAAGGGGGATTGATGATCACCTGCAGGTCTCGGCGACGCGGGGTCGCGCTCGCCGAGCGCAGCCATCTGGATCTCGAGGCCCTTGCCATAGCAGGCGATGGACTCGTCCATGCGGCCAAGCATGGCGTGCGTGTCGCCGAGCTGCATCCAGCCGGAGAAGGCGGCGAGGGACCACCTCGCCCCTCTGGTCGGGCTCCGCATGCTGCTGCTGCTGGTCGTCGCCGCCGGCCGCAGCGGCCCCATCTCGCCCTCCCCCTCCCCTTGGCAGCAGGGGCAGGCGGCGTGACGACGGCGACGGCGCGCTCAAGGACGGGGATGGCGTCGGCGTGGCGACCGAGTCCACAGTGGATGGCGGCGGCGACGTGGAGGCTCATGGCGTGCTCGAGCTCGGCGCCCTCGCCGAGCCGCTCGAGCGTTCCTAGCGGCGCGCTCGGCGAACTCGAGCGCGCGCGCGCGGCCCCGCCGCCCTCCCCCGACACCATGGCGTCGCGCGCCTGCTTGAGGAGGAACGGGCCCAGATTCGATCTACCTTCTCCTGCGCCGCCGATCCGGCTCCGGCGCGCGATCCCGTGGCTGCGGTGCTATGGAGAGAGGGAGGGAGGAAGAGAGAGAGGGGCTAGGGTTTCGTGGAGCACAGAAGCAGCCGCCCTGTCCGCGTCGAGGGAGAGAGGGAGCGAAGAGGAGAGACTGAGAGAGCGAGGAGGGGGGAGAATTTTCTGGTGTCCCCTATATATATACAATGGGTATTTATAGGGGCGGCTGGTGATTAAGCCGTCCCTACGAATGAAGACAGCAGGGGACATATTTGGGCCTTGTTTAGATACCATCTAAATTCCAAGTTTTTTCACTCTCTCTCCATCACATCAATTTTTAGCTGCTTGCATGGAGTATTAAATGTAGGTAAAAAATAACTAATTACACAGTTTAGTTGGAAATCACGAGATGGATCTTTTGAGCCTAGTTGGTCCACGATTGGACAATATTTGCCAAATAAGACGAAAATGGTACTATTCATCGGGTTGAAAAAAGTTGCAATCTAAACAAGGCCTTGTAGGGGCGGCTCGTATTACTAGTCGCTCCTACTGTGCTATTTATAGGGGCGGCTGCTGTGCTGAAGACTGAGCACGTCACTGTAAGGGCGGCTCCAATTCTAGCCGCCCCTTAAGAAAAAATTATCCGTTGCTACAAACTGTTTTTCACGTAGTGCTACAATAGTATGGAAAACTATAGGGAAGCCAATCATGGTGCATGCAAACGATAACTATCAAATCTAGGAGATATCCTCTAGAAAAGGAAAGGAGAAGAGGCTACATGCGTCTTTTGCTAGGGTCCTTGGTGTGTCTGAAAAATTTTAGAAAGTTATTTATATCTATCTATATATTCACAGGATGATGTCCAGAAATTCTCAAAATAAATAGAGAAAAAGAAAAAAAAATACTTGACCATCAATCTATGCTAGGAACAATTTATAATCATCCCAATCAAAAATATATCTGGCCAATTGTTTCCAAGCAAACAAAAAGTTAAGTCATTTATCTATCTACTCTACTCTACCCTACTCTATCTATCTATCTCACGGTCTATACCTACGCACTAATATCTTCATAGAATGTATAAAATTTTTCACAATAAATAGAGAAAAGGAAAAAATACTTGACCATCAATCTATGCTAAGAACAATTTATAATCATCCCGGTCAAAAAGACATAGCCAATTGAGTCCAAACAAACAAAAAGGAAAGTCCTTTTTGGCAACAGGTGCATGTCATCTATGGGATTTTGATCTAGTATCTATATCCGTCGAACTACTTTATCTATCTATCTATCTATACCTATATGTACTACTAGTATATATTCACAGAGTGTCTAGAAAATCTCATGATAAATAGAGAAAAACAAAAAAAAAATTTGACCAATCATCTATGCTAGGACCACTTTACAGTAATCATCTTGATTAAAAAGATATCTAACCAAATGTTACCAAGCGCACAAAAAGGAAAGTCTTTTTGCAACAGGTGCATGCCAATTGTCATCGATTGGATTTTGTGATATATCTATCTTTCTATCTATCTATATTTACCTATATACTAATATATTAATAGATTTGTTTAGAAATTCTCACGATAATAGACAAAAATAAAAATATTTGATCATCCATCTATGCAAGGACCAATTTATAATATCATCCCTATCAAAAAATATCTGGCCAATTGTTACCATCTGAACAAAAAGATAAGTCCTTTTGCGACAGGTGCATGCCAATTGTCATAGATGGGAATGGATACTACAACAAAAAGGCAATTGTAGGGATCTTGAAATTTAAAATTTAGAAATGTCAAACGACATTAGACTTTGACATGATTTATAACAAAGTTGTAGTTTTCGATGCAGTCTACAACTTTGTAGTTGACAAGTTTTTATATAAAACATTTAGAGTTTGAAATATCTGTTTCAAAATTCTTAGATTGGCATGTCTAAGAGCATTTCCAAGGGTTCCCAGAATGCACTCCCAATCTAGGATTTTTGGCAAGATTGAAAAAACACATCTCCAACAACTCCCAACTCCAGCTCCTCTTTTGGCACTTGGGAAAACCAAGCCGCCGCGCAGAAAATACATGCTACTCCGCTACTACGGTCCTGCTCGCGCTAGGTTTTCCTAGGCATTCTTCTTTATCACGCCAAAGAGGAGGAGATACTGCGACTTTTCCTAGGCTTTCTTCTCCCTCGCGCCATAGGCCAAATGTCATCCAGGAAGTCGATCTTCGCCGCTGCCAACCTAGGGAAGAGGTAATCCATTGTTGTACTCCCTCAACTTTGCCCTACACTTTTCCTCAGATGCCCTAGCCCTGCACGGAGGTTGTTGGCCACGTATGGCCAGCCACGGCAGGATGCTGGCCACCCTTGGGTTGGCCTGCTTGGCTACAGCCAGCCGTGGTCGGCTGCTGGCCGCCTTGGGTTGGCCACGCCTGGCTACAGCTAACAGAGGCTGGCTGGCCGTAGTTGTCGTGCTGTGGCTAGCTGCTGGATGCCTGTGTGGCCTGGCCAGGGCCAACTATTGATGGTTGATGGATGGCCATGGCCAGGCCATGGTCGGCTGTGGTCTGGGAAGGCTTTTCCTATTGCGGGAAAAAATCTTTGTAGATTACAAGTGTTGTTCATTATGTGGTAAACATATTTTTCTTCTTCAAGGCATTTGGCATTGATTTGTTCCTCATTATTGGTAGGCTCCTCCCAATGTCCGGGTGTGGATATTGGACAAACATGGTTACGGGAGTGGAGCAGGATGTTTCTTTGGAAGATCTCATTATCCCCATGACACAGGACGCATAGGCACATGAGGAGGTTCCTACTGAAGTGCAAGCAGCTGATGTGGAGCCACGTGTAGGTTCTACTCGAACACGCGCTACAAGGCCAAATCAGAAAAGGCAAAAAAAATTCAATGTGAAGGAGGATGAACTTGTTGTCTCATCTTGGTTGAACGTTAGCAAAGATCCCGTGCAAGGTGCTAATCAATCTCGTGCCTCCTTTCGGCATAGTATTTATGACTACTATGAATAGAACAAGACAATTGAATCAAGTCGAATGGAGAGTTCGATTATGCATAGATGGTTTGCATATTTTGGAATAAGTCAACAAGATTGTGGATGCTACGACGCCGATTGAGCGTAGAAATAAAAGTGGTCGTACCATTCAAGACAAGGTTAGTGTTTACCTATTTGGTTCATTTCTAAAGACATAAACATTCACATTTAATAACCAACCATGTGCAGGTTTCTGAACCATCAGCTATGTTCAAGGAATCAGGGAGAAAACAAGTTGTTCATGCTAATGCATTGCTGAAACAAATTGAAGGACTTAAGACAAGTAAGAGGTGAAGATGAAGGTAATGGCAGAGCAGAAGCAAGCCGCTAACAAGAAACAGAAGGTACACCTGGATTCCGCTCCAAGGAATTTAGAAGTCAACAACATTGGTGATGTCACTGAGGTTTCACCCCCAAATTTAAAGCACGAAAGAGGCCAAAGGGGGAGAAGAAGGCAAAACAAGCACTGAGGCGAGGAGGAGGTGAAGCTTGCATGGAGGCATTGGACCAAATGTGGGCTAAGAAGGAGGCTTTTGACATGGAGAAAGAGGGGAGGAAAAGAGGAGAGGTAGGCTTCACTTGCTCTAGAGAGAAGGAGCAGCTACTTTTAGAAGGAAAAAAGGGTTCAATCTTATTTGGACAAGATTGAGTTGGACATGATCAAAGAGGAAGACAAAATAATGTCAAAAGACATTACTTCCTTGTCTGAGGTGCAGCAGCAGTATTAGAAGCATATGCAGGAAGTTGTCGTTGCTCGTCGTATGTCATAGTAGATTTAGTCTGTATCATTGTTTTCTCTACTTTATCATTTTGTAATACTCTGAACTATGAATTTTCTTTATCAAGACTATTAATTTCAGTTGCATTATTGTTTATGTTGAAGTAATTTTTTTAATATGAATGATGGCCTACTGCTACTTGGTTGTGTATCTGTTCCTGCTGCTGGCCGGCTGCTGCCTACTGCCAGCCGGCAACTGTCTGCTTTTGGCCAGCTGTTGCATGCCTGTGGCCGGCTACTGCCTACTGCTGGCTGGGTGCAAAAAAATGTATTGATCCTAACAATTAAATAAAAGCCTATGAACCTAATATTTATCAGGAAATTACTGCCATAAGTGCTCCATTAGGTCTTCTTTTAGCTAGTGATGTGTTTCATTGTATCTAATCCTTTTATGTGCCTCAATAAATTCATCAATGGAACGATGATGCCCATGAGAAGGTTCCAAATTTTGGCCACCATAGCCGAACCGCTCAGTATGGTCCACTACTCCTTCATCCTCAACAATCATATTGTGCATAATGACACAAGCTTTCATGATGTTTCCTAGTGTCTCTCTGTGTCCCATAAACGAGTTGCTCCCCAAATAACGGCGAATCTGGATTGGAGAACTCCAAAAGCTCATTCGCATCCTTCGTTGCTACTTCGTGTGCTTTGGCAAAATATTTCCTCTTGTTCCCCATCACTAGTACAACAATGATTTCTCTTGGCGGTGGCCATTTTGTCAGTGGCGGTTCGTAATGTGTAGGCACCACTAGAAATAAAACTGTGGGTCCAGACCATGAACCGCCAGTATAAATTTATTTTTACTGGTTGTTTTCTTAAGTTTACCGTCAGTATAAATATATGATTTGTACTAGCGGTAGCCTTAAGAAAATAGCTAGTAAA